TCTCCAGGAGTGTGAGGAAAGAAGTGGGTCCCTGTGTGTGGTCGTGGGGTTGGTGGGTTGCTGGGGGCAGGGGGTGCAGGTGGGGGGCAGGTTTGCTGCCTCCTCCCTTTGCTGTAGCTCAAGATCATGCCAGGGTTTAGGGGCCAGGCTGAGCCCTGCAAAGCCAGGTGGGTTGGGTGTGCTTGGTGGGATATGCAGCTCTGGCCAGGAGCAGCCAGGGTTCAGTGGTGGCTTCTCTTGCCTCTGCCCCACCGGGCCTGCAACTTATTAATCCCATCCCCACTGAAGAGCCTTTTCATAAAAGTACTCTGGAGCACCATCAGGAGCGTGCGTTGCCTCATCCTTTTAACAAATATGGTTTGTAGCCCTATTAAAAGGGGTCTTCATCTATCCTGTCAAAGCTATTCTACTGGGGTTTTTTAGTTTAATTACACTATCCAATTAAAACTCCTTGCTGCATTTTGATTCACTTCTCCTTGGGCTTGAGTGGATATGACATTTACAAGGCTCGCCTTTCAAGCAGACAATGGTGTGATTGATGAGGTGCAGACGCAATGAAGGAGGCGATTGCCATGTGGAAACACTGCTTAGTGCATTTTGATTTATTTATCATCTCTTTTCCTAAACAAGGTTGCTGGTGAAGAGGTTTTGGGCAACCCCAAGTTCCACCTCAGTCTTCACCATTCTTGCAAAAATCTTTTCTGGTATTCTGCCTTTCATAGTAATTCAAAGAAGACACAAAAGGCTTTGGGGAAAAATATCCAGATGTGTGAATAGTTACCACAATTTGACATGAAAGTGGCTGTATGTAGCACTTTAATTGCAACTCTGCTTTCAGAACATCTGGGAACAAGACTTCTACTAAAAACAATGTTTGATAATAAGCGTCCAGTAGAATGTAAAGTCCTGAGTTGTAGGAAAAGTAATCAAGAAATACCCTGCTCCCTAAGAGAATGGGGCAAGCCAGCAGGACTGCAGATATTATGCTTTTTGTTACCATTTCTATCGTGTTCCCAGTGCAGCAGTTTGGATTTGAAGGAGCTCCAGCACAGGTCTGTGGGGTGCAGGCTGGGTGCACTGATAGTGGTGGGTCAGGATTTCACCCATACCTTTGACTGCCCTCCCTGCCTTTGGACATCAGCTCCTAAATATGAACCTCTCGGATAAATACCACTTAATAAAATGGGCTTGACCCCACTTTTACACCCAGAACACCATTCCTGTCCAGTCTGTGTCCCTAACTGAGCTTGGTGCAAGATCTCTGGCTGTAGTGCAACTCCTGACATCCTCCTAGGAGAAAACTTGTAAGTTTTCTTGATGTTGGAGGTTGTCTGGGTAGGTGTTTTGATTGTAATGCAATATGTGCTTTTATGAAGGACCTTCAGGCCCAGCTCTGGGGTCACTGCATCATTATTGGGGTAGCACATGGGGATTTCAAACAACAGAGTCCCTCCTCAGAGCTTTTAGATTAAATCTAGCAGTGGTTGCTGAGCAGAGGTTACCCCATGTCATGCTGTTTTAAGTAAATCTGCCTTTGTACAGACACATTGCTTGTGTGGATTGTCTTTTCATCATTCCTTGCCTTTCACTAGTATATTTCTGGTTTTTTTCTAATCCTTTGTGAGTCTGTGAGAAGAGATTTCAAGGTTTGATCCTGTTGTAGTCATAATTCCTGAAGTGGTGAAAATCTGTGGTGATGTCAAATGATGCCCAGAAGTGTTTTGTTCTTCAGAGAGGTCTTTCTCTAGGTATTTATTCCACTAATAACTCTTAATTGTTGACTTCTGCCTTATGGCCCTGTAATGACAAAGCAATCATCAAGGTATATTGAAAAATTAACATAAATTTGCATTTCCCAGTGTTTGTTTTCTGTTTTGTCCGATTCATGAATATTCTTTTCATCATCCATCTAATTAGTGCTATAATTCAGTGCACACTGTTCTAAGGGGTGGCACTGGCAGGAGAGAGGGTTGGGCACAGTCTGAATCAGCGGATGGGAGAGGAAGAACAGAAACTTGACAGATTTGGTAACAAAATTTATCTTGTGCAAATTCATGTCCTTCCAATGTTTTCCAGGCAAAAAGAGTATTTTTAGACTCTGATAAAAGGAGTTTACTACTTAGATTAAACAATTTTTCACCTCTCTGAAGTCTGTTGGGCTGCAGTTTTTGTGTCTTTTCCCAAGACTGAAACTTGCAGAAATTAGCAGAAGATTTACCAGTGTATACTGGATAGGCACATTTAGTCAGTAATTTTGGAAGCTGTAGTTCAGCAGAATTCCCCAACTGCTGCACGTAGACACAGAAACACCCAGAGGTCGGGGACTGAGGTGCAGGGGGTGACACTGTTTGCACCAGGGCAGCTCCCCAGTGCTGGGAGGATCAGTGGGAGGAAGGTGAGCAGCAGGCAAGCAGCTGTGCTGAGGGCTTGGGCCACAGTGAGCCTCATCTCCCATTTTTGTGGCAGAATAGAGATGTTCAAAATGAGGAAATAAGCCAAACAGTTGAATTAAGTGATGGTGCTGAAAGAGTGAACGAGCTCTCCTCTGTGCCCAAGTTACCATTTTGCCTTCCACCCTCACCTGCTCTCGGTTTTCTCCAGGTGTAACCATACCATCAGTGTCTGAGGGACAGGGCAGGTTTCTTTAGCAGATAAACATTCTTGGGAATAACACGTATTTTCTATTGTACAGCCAATCAGTTCTGATTGCAGAATGGTGAAATTTCCCCCTGCAGCAGCTGACATTAAAGCTGGTCCTGCAGAATCCTGGTGCTGGGCAGTGACAGATGGGTGCTGGGTGGGTGCTGGAGCTGAACACTTGTGATTCAGACCCACAAGCTGCAGGACACCACACCATGGTCATGCAGGAGTCATGGCAGTGAAGCCATTCATGCAAGATCTGCATTTGTTCTAATTTGACCGTCATGTGCATTAGAAGCCACTTGAGCTGCTGCTGTTGGTTACCAAATATTCCTATCTGGAAATATAAAACCATGGAAGTTCCTATTGATCTCTGAATTGCCAAGGGTGGTTCTCCATTGGAAAGGTACATCACGTATTTAAGCACTCTTGGAAATGGAAATCAATCTCACAATTCATAAATTCCATCTGGCTAGAATAGTAGCAGAGCAAAGTGCCAGTTATGGTTTCAATGAACTCATATTTCATGCTGTAAATAGTGTAATGTGGACACGGAGCACATAAACATAATGCAGTAATGGGGCTTTTTACAGAAAAGTCTTCTTAACTCCTTTTCTCTAAATCACTGTCAGGCACAGAACCAGTTCCTTCCCCAGCTGCTGCCCAGCACCGCGTGGGCACTGCAACTCCCTGGGGAGCAGGGTGAGCTCTGCCTCCTGCTGCCAGGCACACTGGGGTTGGTGGTGGCATCCGATGCTCTAATTGTCATGGAAAGAGCTGACTCCTCACAATCCCAGGACAAGTGCTAGGAATGAAGCTCTTGGGTTCTGCTGTCATCAGCTGTAGGAATAGTTCTGTGGGAGAGGAGGAGTCAGTCACTGGTTTAAAAGAAAGATGGGGGTACTGGGGAGAGTTCCTGTGCCAGGTGTGATGGAGGCTGTGGTCTCCCTTTGTTTTCATACCTATGTATCATATTGTGGTTCTGTGCCCTGCCTGGCGGGTGGTGTTGGGGCAGCAGAGCTGGAGGAACACGCCAGGGACACGTGGGTCCCCGTCCCACCCCGCCCTGGGAGCCTCCAGCACATTGTCAGGGGGTTTGTGTCCCTGCTGTTGGCTTCGCAGAGCAGGTCAGCACTGGGGCAGCCCTGACCAGGGGGTTCAGGCACTGATCCACACCAAGAACCACCCAGTGGGCTTCCAAGACCAAAACTACAAACCTCACTGGAATCCTCCAGATCATATTTTGAGCCATTTAAATTTTTGTTTGTACAAAGCAGTTTCTGTAACCATGTGATGTTAAATGTCCCAGGAAAGCTGCTGGGGCACAGGGCTGTGTCCTGTCCCCAGTAACAGGTCACCAGACTTTGGGAAGTGGAAAGGTGCAGAGTTCAGTCCCAGGCAGAGCTGGCTGTGCACACATTTACATACTAACGAGCTTGTGGCCAGGAATTCCCTCACTTTTAGTACCAGATAAGCATCATTTGTCAAATGATTTAAAGGGTTAGTTTTTTTATTATTAGCCAATTTTTCCATATAGAATTTATATTCCAGATTAGTGCATCATAATGCTGTTTAATTAACATGCCACGATAAAATACCAGTGACTCGGATTTTCTGGCCACAGATCTGAGCATATATCAGTTACATTTTGGAAATCTGGAGAATTAGATAATGTAAATAAGATTTCAATTAGCTTTCCTCCAGGAAAGACCTGAAGTTGCAGTAATGTGGCTGTTATTTTATGGATTACTAACTTTGACCTTTGAACTGAAGAAATTATGAGAAAACTGATGGAAAGGTATAATGTAGGGAATATGCTTGATTTTAATTTTGAGGCCAGAAGCATCCCTGCAAGTGAAGGGTGTTTTCCTCTCCAGGTTGTGCCTGTGGCCCCTCAGGGCAGGGCTGTCCCTCCTGCCTCAGCACTGGTGAGGGTTGGTGGCTCCTGCAGCTCTGAGCAGCAGTGGGTGCTCAGCTCCTCCTGCCCACTCCACCCCTGCTCCCAGGGGAGCCTGGGGCAGCCCAGAGAGAAGTGACACTTCCTCTGCAGCCCTGGTTGTCCCACCTGCAGGACACCAGGCTCTGGCCGGAGGGTTGTGTTCTGTTGCGTTATGTTTTCCCTTTGCTGTGAGCAACTGAGTGGGTTTGGATGATGTTTTGGGGAGAGGCTGTTGGAGTGATGATTCTGGAGTTAATTGGCCTTTTATTTTAAATATAACACTTCTGCATGTGGTGGTTCTATAATGAACAATCACACAAAGTAGTCCTAATCTGGTAGTTTAGCACAAGTACAGTCTTGGGCTGAGTGGGAGCTAACTAGCCATGTGATAGATTCCTGCATTTCCTGCAGTGGGGATATGATGGGAAAAGGAACTTTATTGAGTGGAGTTCAGCTGCTCCTGTAAAGCCACCACTTGCCTTAAATTGAAATGACATGAGAAGCCTGTCAGCGTTTCATTACTCCCTTCTGTCGTGCTGATGGTACGCTAAGATCACCATCTGGGTTTTTCTTCTGTCAGGCACACAAGCTCTGCTGAAACTTTACAGGAATATTCTGAGCAGTTTTTTTCTTATCTTTGCAGGTCATGCAATATTTAAACTTACATATCTAAGCAATCATGACTACAAACACCTTTACTTTGAATCAGATGCTGCTACTGTCAATGAAATTGTACTGAAGGTGAGTATTAAATTTTAACGTGACCCAAAATCCTGGGTGTTTTACCACTTGTTTGACATGGAAGGATTCAGAAAGCTCTGGAAATACATGGATGGGGCAGTGCCTGAGGACCACGAAGGTGCATTTCATGTACCAGGGTAGTTGGTGCCTATTGTTCATTTATCAAACAGCCATACAGCAAGCTGCCTATTTGCAGATAACATTTCCTTTTATTCTTGCTTCTAGTTAATAGAGACACTGGTTTTATGTGGAATTTTATAGAAAACTACCACATTTTATTGTGTGCAGATAGTTTCCACCTCCAGAGAGGGAAGGTGGCTGTGGGGGAGGCTGTGAGGGTGCAGGAGCTGTCGGGGTGCAGCTTCACCTCTTTGGGCCAGACCCAGGTGTTTGTACAGATGGAAAAGGTTCTTTTTCTCCCCATGACACTTTGTCAGCATTGCTTGCTTTTCTTGAGCCTCAGTACCTGCACACACTGCCTTACTTTCTGAAACAAATTTTTGTAACACTCTTGGAAGATTAAACTTAATTTTCCACAAGCTAATATTTTATAGCAATTTGGAATGGAAAAAGCAGTAATTTTGGCAAGCCATCTGTTATCTTTGCTTTTATTTTCTGTGTAGAGTTTAGAGCGTTGCTAAATAATTGACATACAATTCTTTTTATTGATAACGTAGAATTTGAATGTATTTGGGGGGTTTTCTACTTACTTGGTGAACTGTTAGGCCAGTTCTTTCGTTCCTTCTTTATCTTAAATAAGCTGTTGTGATCCAGAACACTTGATGCATCTGAGACTGGTCATAAAAGAAGGCTAAAAATAATAAGTTTTGCTATGAATGGTATGTGTATTCAAGAGGGAAATATTATTGAACAGTACTTTTGTCTTAAGTTGCAGATTGTTTATATAGAACATTTCCTGGTTTCATGCATAAGTTACCAGTTTATTTTCAATTCCATCAGCATTAGGAGACGCCGGGAAATCAGACTTCTCAAATTAGGCTTTTTACATGATCAAGTGAGAAAGACCGAGGCTTTATTGACCATGAAAATTCCCTATATTTTTATGCCTTTAGCTGTAATATGCAATGAAAGTGAAACACTCTACAGTGCATAAAATTGTGCAAGTTTTAAGCCACAGCATATTAACCAGCTAATGGCAGACCAAAGGGCATTTTTATCTTTTTGATTCTTGCATTAACCTTCCATTAAAATTATCTATGTGATTATCACAAAGCACTGGAGATAATAAATTTAGAGAATAGCAGCCTTGTTAAATATCATTTAAAAATGCTTTCATCAAGTAAGATGTGCCAAAACACAGGGAAACGATGGGATTGGCTGGATGTGCAAACATCATAATGAAAGCATTATTTTTATGGAAGCCCATGAAGTCCTTCACCAGCGCCCGTTGCTGCATCAGAGCAGCACTTGGGTCTTCAGGAGTTGCTGCGTTTGCCCGGAGGTTTGGGTGGCAAGGGGGGAGGGCAGGAGGTGCTGAGAGCCTGTGCCCTCGGGATCCACCCTGTGCTGAGGGACGCCAGGACCAGTGTCACTGAGGCCTCGCTGAGCCGGGTGCTGGGAGGGACCCTGCCCTCCCCGGGCTGTCCCGGGAAGCACTGATGGAATTTAACACGTTTCATGTCTTGCAGGTTAACTATATTCTGGAGTCACGAGCAAGCACAGCCAGAGCAGATTATTTTGCTCAGAAACAAAGAAAGCTGAGCAGGAGAACAAGCTTTAGCTTCCAGAAGGAGAAGAAGTTGGGACAGCAGTAAGGCCTGGCCTGGAGGAGAGCCTGGCCACCAAATTCGGAGGAGGGGACGTTCCCCCAGCGGGACAGGGAGCCAGGACTGCGGGGCTCCCGCTGCCGACAGGCAGGAGCAGCCGGCGGAGAAATGGGAATTCTCCCATCTCCCACAGCTGGAAGATTATCCCTCGTTGGTGATGGGAAGTCTCCCCTGTGACAAAAATAAAGAGCCATATCAGCCGGAAAGAAGACTGTTACGCTTCAGGTTCCTCTGATTAGAAATAAGAGAATGACGTAGACTGGCATCATTTAATTACTGTATTATGTACAATCACAAGAAGAGATGTGATTACATATTATTTCACAGCCTGGTTAAAATAAATTATATACATCTGTAATACACCCACATACACACAGGTATTGCTTGTGACATGATCAAATTTCTAAAAACAAAATGTAGGACAAATGTATCCATTTTTACTATTAATAAACAGATGTAATCTTTTTCAAGGTCCATATGATGCACAGTTCTTTTGGGGGGAGGCTGCAGTCCCAGATGGTTTCACTTCTGTTGCTGAAGTGCAGGAGGCAACCGTGAGCCAGGGAACAGCAGCCGTTGCAGGGGAGCGATTTGTGAAGAGCCGCTGAGACAGACAAGTCTGTTGTGGTTTGCTTTGTTCCAAAATAGTTTTATTTAACCGTGCTTTTCAGCTTTTCATATGTTTTATTAGAAGTTCCTTGCTGTGGTCAGCGTGGTGTTTTGAAAACCAGGGCAGCGTCTCTGCGGTGGGAAGGAGAGCATCCCCCTGCCACATCCACCATGATCTGCTGCTGTGCTGGGTCTGCTCTTCCTCACCAGGACAGCCCACACCTGAGGACTGGGACATGCCTGCACCTTCTTCTAGTGCTCTTCTTTATAAATTAAGACCTGCTTTGTACTGGGGTTTGTTACTGTTTTGGCCTTGTTCATCCTTAATACATCAGGGAACACAGGAATGGGATTACTGGGAGCCAGAGCTGCATTTCTGGTTCAGGTCACCAGAGGTGTCTTTCATAAATCTCCAAGTCACTGAAGCTGGAGCTGCTGCTGTGGGTTTTGTAGCAAGAAAATACCCCTGATTCCAGAGGCTCTTGACCCAGGGCTGTGGGTCCCTCAGGCTGACCAGGCTCTTCCTGCTCAGCCTGACCTCTTACAGGGTCCTACCTTGCTTTTGTATAGAGGAAATTTTCTGAGCCTTAACAAGTAGTTTAGGAGTAACCACCAAGACAGAGACGTCTCTGTGTCACTTACCTGTTGCGTTTCAGTTCTCGGGTTTTCAAGGTTTCTCGCCCCTGGTGCTGCTGGGGGAGGTTCCCTGCCTGCTCCCGGGGAAAGGCCTCACTGTACAGTCTTCCATGGGATCTGCAAAACATGAGAAACAATGTTTTATAGTATGATAGTAATTTTTTAGATATTTTATATGTGCAAATGTGGCACAGATACAATGGGGAAAGACTTTCAAATAATGCAATGTAAATGACTCCTTAACCAACTTTGTCAACTATTTAACATTAAAGTTGTTATGTGAATGTTCTTTTGCCACCTAGTTTTGCTTCTCTTTAACTGAACTAAAGATTTCCTTTGTTGGTATCAGAAGCTACAGAAGTCTCTGCTTGTTTCCATGGCCCTAGTGCTGTAGCCACCCACTTGCATTTAGTTGTTATAAGGAGCTATTCAATAATATGTGCAGAATTTGCTTTCAGTAAAGCCTACAGAGTCACGTAATAAAAAAAAATATCTCCTGTCTGAACTGCAGTGCCTGGACCACACACATTTACACCATCTTGTAAATCACCTTCCACTTGCTCCATGTTTGGTGCAGTCCCCCCACAGAGCTGGTACAGGCAGAATGTCCCCAGGAGCACAGACAGAGTGTGTGGACGGGCAGGAGCTGCTGGAGGCTGCTCCCAGGGCTTGGCAGGGACCAGGCAGGCTGAGGAGCCCCAATGGGTTTCTTTGCCCCAAAGGAGCCATTTCAGTTAAGTGAATTTACTGTCAAATATCGGATCAGTTGAATACAAGCCATGGAGGGAAACTTCCTTAAGTTTGGAAGTGCCCAACTTTCCAGGCGCTGAGCAGGCTCTCCCTCAGCACAGATATTTCTGCTCTTTAGTGTTTGCTGAAAGAGTTAAATCTGAGCTCATGGTTGCAATCTGTGCACTGCAGAACACAAATCCATCACGGGCTGGTCTTTCCCCGGTAGTTGTAGATTTAATTGATTCAGATGGGCATTCAACTGGGTCAGGAAAGCAAGCTGTTCCCTCCATGCCTTGTTACTGGGCTTGGGCAGAAGAAGGTGGCTGCTAGCTCACATAACGATGGCTTCTCCCTGGCATGAATCAGTCACTTGGAGGCATCAGAATCTTCTCTTGCTTCTGCTGTTGGAGGGGCACCTGGCCTGCATTTGCACCTAAGGTGTCACAGTCAATTGCACCTCCTGGAGCAGAGCATGCAAAAAATCACGAGCTCAGAGCCAGGGAGTCAGGGAGCACAGAGACAGGGAGGGCAAACAACCAGAGGTGTTTCCCCAGGCGCTACTGGGAGCCCCAGGGGACTCGTCCCCAAGGACTGGTCCCAGGCAGCCACATCAGGGCTAGGACCCAGCTGAGAGCAGGGGCTGCACCCACCACGTACTGGGACAAGCAAGTGAAAACCATTGTACAGCCCTGGGTGCAGCCCTGAGATTAATGGGAGGAGTTATTTATGGAGACATGTTTGTAATGGGCCCATGAATTTCATGGAAATGCGTGTCTGTGGCGGCGTGTGGTGTTGGGTGCTGCTGCTGCTGCTAAAATGAATGTCCCCTAAATCACATCCCCGAGCAGCCTCCCTGGTGCCACACTGGGACAAGGACAGAGAAGAGGACAGAGCACAAAGGGCCATGGGGAGGGTGCCCAGTGCCCAGCTGGGTGCTTTACCACTGCTGAGCCTGTGGTAGGACCTGGGGCCACCAGGAGCAGCCAAGCACAGCCTCTCGCTGCCACCTTTGCTGCCACTGTACGAAGGGTTAAGCACTGTCATGTTTTATTCTCCACACACACCTCTGCTTAAATGCAAAAAAAATATATAAATTTAAAAAAAAAACTCAACAGGGTGTTGTTCACTCTAAAAACCCTAAGCATGATTAATGAACTCTCACAGCCTTCGTAATCTCATCAGAGTAATGGGATTATATTTCAAATCACCATGGCCTGTTCATTACACATTTAAACTCCTTTGACAGAGGAAAAGTTAAATAAAATGTGTGCGTCAGCCCTGGTTGACTCTCCCAGTTCTCTTTCTTGATTAGACAAACAGATGCTGAGCTCCAAAATGAAAAAATAATGTGCTCATTTATTCATTTTTCTGACAAGTCACAATAGATTTTTAACTCCAAATGAGCCCCCTCCCCAGGCGGGAGCACGAGGGCAGCACGTGCCGCTCCGGGCTCGGAGCTGGGGCTGGACTAGGACACAAGTGGCCACATCCACCCGGGGAGCAGGGGGACGGAGCCGCCATTCCCGATGGATTTCTCCAAGGAGCTGGGAATGGCACTCGCATCCCTGCCTGGCCAGGCCAACCCTGCCCGGAGTGCCCCGACCAGGGCACCAGCAGAGGTTTCTGGCACCTCCCGCCCGGGCTGGAATGGACCCGTGTGGCGCTGCCAGGGCTGCCACGGCCGCGGGGTGACCTGCTCTGTGCCCTGCAGCTCCCGCCTTGCTCCTCATCACTCTCGAAGTGACTCTTGCTCCAGCATCAGGTCCACAATGGGGGAAAGAGCCTTGAGTCTTGGACTTGGCCCACAGAGGGCAGGACCTTCCCGGGACCTGCCAGGGGACAAGCACCCGTCCCTTGGGAGCTGCTGGGCTGCACTCCCCGCTGAAGAGCAAAGTTCCAACTCGGGGAGCACTGGGGCCCTATCAGGGAGCTGAAATGCCAGATAATTAGAAATACACCAGCAAACACCATTATTGTCAGGAGAATGCAATTGCATACAGTAATGAAGCAATTATTAATGAGCAACTGCAAGGCTGTCATTAATTTAAGCTTTTCAGGATCACAGACTAAGGCAAGTTAAATGTAAAACAGAGCCAGGGCTGGGCTGAACGGGGCTTTACCCCAGGTGGGGTGGGCAGCGCGGGGCCCTCTCACTGCCCCCTCCCCAGCGGGATGCCCTGCACACCCGCAGCCCCCTGCCCCGCCCCCTGCCCACCGACGGCAGCCGAGTTGCCAGAGGCGCCAGGCTCGGGCCGGTGCAGCCGGAGCTGCTCCCGCACCAGCGCGCCCCGCGCAGCAATCTGTCACCGCGCGGCTCTGCAATATGTACCTCATGTCTGGGCTGTCATCGGACATAATTCCTCCCTGCTGGCATATTGCTGATTTGTGCATAAGTGATGCATGCAATCCACCTGAGCTCGGAGTCAGGGGTTTCTTGATCTGGGGCTGTCAGGGCAGAGTGTTTTAGTGCCTCCTGCGATTAGCTGGAATTGACAGGCCCTGAGAGCGGGGAATTGCACAACAGGGGAATTAACAGCCAGGGACTGAAGTGGAGTGTGGCACTCGTTTAATCTGCAATTTATCAGTTTACGTGGCTTCTTGTCGCAGGCGGAAGATTACACTCCAAAAAAGAAGGCTCCTTTTTTTTTTAATTTCACCTGACAGGGAGAGGGAAGAGTGATATTCAGCAGCTGACATGTTTGCTGGCTCCCGCAGGGTTAGTGGCCCATGCCGAGCAGGGCTGAGCAGCACAGTGTCCCCGTGGGTGCTGGCCTGGTGGCACCAGCAGCCCTGGCACAGGGCAGGCAGCCCCCACAGCCCCATCTGGCCTCAGCTGC